AAAATGAAAGGGAAAAGTTACTTGTTCGAGTGGGTATATATGTCCAGTTGCTAGCTACTGGACAGTTGCACAGCTTCGCCATCTTTTTTTTTTTCTTTTTTTTTTTTTGGGTCACATTTTTACATCGACAACTTTGTAACTCGATTCTCTATTCGAAGCTGCCATTTTCAAATTTCTGGCACGTATCCCGTTCCTCAGACCTTCTACAAATCTAATGGTCGTTCTCGTTTAAAAAGAATTTTCATTCGCGGAGAATTTTTTTTTTTTTTTTTTTTNNNCTCGCATAGGTATATATCCATAGTTGTTTCTAGTGTCCTTTTTTTTTTTATGGTTTCTTTTTCTCGCTGTATTTTTACCGCTGCGGTCCCAATTTTTGATTTTCTAGTTTTTATCTAGCTAAAAATTGTTTTTCTTTTTTTTTTTTTTTCATACCTCCTCGCTGTATTGTTTTCATTGCCGATTTTTTCTTCTTTTTTCTTTTCCTTTTTTTGATTACGTTACGCTATTTTATTTATTGTTGAAATTTTTTTACATGTTCTTGTCTTGTTTTTTTTATTACTGTAGCTTCTTCCGCGCGATGCTTTTTATTGCAACATTTTTTTTTTTTTAATGCTTTTACGCGTTTACATTTTAGATCATTTTCTTGTTATTAAAATTTCTCGTTTTTACAACAGAATAAATTCATTATCTTACATTCATTACGATAATTCTTTTTTCATCCGTATCTTTCTTCCCCATCTCGAACAGAGAAATCTTAATAAAATATCTTCCGTGCAAATAAAATCGTCATTGGCCACGCATTGCCAACAACAGAAGGATCAGCAATACACTTAAGCCAAGATAAGATATCTAACTCACAAAAATACACGATCAATCGTCAATCTCTAAACGACCGGTCCACGCAAAGGGAAAAGTTAATCGAATTCTTCGAATCCCATTCCCTTCTCGTATCAACCCCTCGACTATTCCGAATTACGAATCCTGACAACGCGATTCATCATCCATAACAGGTTCACCAATGGAAAGAAAGAAGAAGAGGGGTCCGATGAAAGGCGAATCGGTGGATTGGAAAGTTGAAAATAATAAATTGTGTCCATTAACAGCGAATCTAGGCTCTTAACTGTCCGTCCAAAGGGAACTTCGAACCCCTCTAGCCTTTTTCCTCGTTTCTCGCCGTCGATGATAATTCTTGTCCAGTTTCAACTGTCCGCCCGCGAACACGCTCTGGATACGCTTCTGTATCCGAAATGCAGAGTAAACTGCCTGCTGAAATAATTCCGTGACACGAGCAGACGTCGTGGGGGGAGAAGAAAAAAAGCATTATGAAATAAAACGACGACAATGACGACGACGATGTGAAAGGAGCGAAAGAAGGGTGCGTTTCGGCGGAAATTATCACGCGACGTGACGGAGAGAATGGTTTTCCGGCAAAGTTTTAGCCCGATGAGATATCGCTTTGAAAGATCGAGTCATTTTTTCTTCTTCTTCTTCTTTTCTTTTTTTATCCCCTTGCAAGATAATAGTTCGATTACGATACTCCTCTTCGATTCCTCGAGGATCAAACGGTATAATGGAAAGGCTTGCGTTTGATTTGATCCGTAAAGGGAAACACGATCGAATCGAAGGAGACTGACGAAACGTCGTTTATGCAAACTTTAACCGAATACCTTAGCTTACGTTCCTTGATCGCCACTTCTCGAAATTGATTTCTCGACAACCCCTCCTTTCACAATATCGAGTTTTACGACGCGAAAAAATCCGAAAATTTCTCCCCTCCCCCCGATCTCAATCAGAAAGTAAGTTTTGTAATGCTTGCTATGGATTCGAATATGATACGTTATAAATCGTGGTTACGAGATTGATATTTTTCCCATTTCGCGAAAGCAAATTCGTTCGAATCGACAATCGGCGAGAATCGCGATCTGATTTAAAATTATTTCTATTTCTATCGATTATTATATCTCGATACGAAAAGAATAATATTTAATACTGCGATTTTTTACGCAATTATACACATACATAACACACTTAATAAGATCGTTATAAACAATGAAATGAAATTTACTATATAAATTTATCTATCAAAATTAGAAAAATTTTGAAAACGTTATAACACCGAAGATAGCGAATTTCGATCGAGTAAAGAAAAGAATATTTTTTATAAAGAATATCGTTCACTATTTTCCTTATCTTCTATTCCGATGTTTCTCTCACACTTCGTCTCCAACGCTATGCAAATTCTTTATATCTCTGCGACCAATTGAGATATCAGAACGAATCAAAATATTAGATTCCTCTATGTTTCGAATTTTGACGATAAAATTTTAAAACAAACACAATAATATAGGGGACATTGATCCTTCTTGTATGACTTTTTCGTATCAGACTATACATAAAATTATATATATAGTTTCGTACGATCTTTTACCTCGAATTACAGATTTGAAGATAGGAATGGAAAACTATTTGCATAGAGTTAGGGATGGAAATAATATTCTTAAGAATAAACATGGGAATTTTTGTCGACACCACGAAACGATAGTCAGCGATATAATTTTACGAAGAGAATTCGTTTCTCGAAAAAAAACTACTACGACTATTCGAAATTTTGTTCTGTTTCACGTAGAAACAAGTTCTACTACAGAGAAGATACAGGCGACTCTCTTCCCGTCCTGTGTCTTTGAAAATGGCACCGCGCGTGGTGTAGAACGGATCCTGGATGCAATACCGTGTAAGATAAAGTAGGCGTGAAATAAACGCGTTCTTGACGCGGATTCCTCCACTCTTTCCCTACATCCACCGTGTCTATCCACCGTGAACGTGTCCTCGTAAGTGTACTCGGCCTCCCCCAACCGAAAGAAGCTCGCGAAACGATCGTGCGACGAATTCGCCGGCAGAGCAGACGGATGCCATTTTACGCGAATTAATGTAAACACAGAGAAATACTCGAGCGTGATAAATTGACGCGAACAAATTAGATCTCTCGTCATGAAATTAACACCCGTCGTCGGGCGAAGCGGTGGCGGTGGCGGTGGCGTTTCGATCGTGACACGTAATTATTCGTCGCTTTTTCGCTTTATACGCGTATTTTTCCCGGTTAATATGCAACCTTTCGTGTTTTAATCGCGGTACACACAGTTTTACGCGTCTTATAAAATCATTTATATAACTTTTTAACCAATCATTCGGAATATTGACCATTTATTTTCCTTTCATTAAATGAAAACATCGAGCGAAATTAAATCAAGTGATTTGATAGAGTTGCATTCGTTGGCAAACGCGCGCGATTACAACGAAAAAAGAAAATATATACATCACGCACATTCGATTTTATCATTATATCCGAATCTTCTCGTATTAAACATCTATATTTACTTATTACGCTTAAAATATTATCGTATACGTGATTAAGCGTATTATACATACGTTAAATTTTACAATCTCGCAATTATATTTCTCTGCGTTCCCCAAACTTACTTACGTTCGTTCTTATTTCATTATTTCTCGAAATAAGAACGTATCTTTTATTTTCACTCGCGATCCACTCCGATTCCGCCTGGCGAATTCACAACAGCGTCGCGTCCCACACTTCTGCCCTCCTCTTAAACTGTTATGCGAAACTGTTATTACCTCTTAATACAACCTCGAAACAAGTTCATTTCTGGAACAAAAAGCGGTGAAAAGGCGGAAGCGGAGGATAATAAAGCAGCGCGCGACACACGCGCGGTGTAAAGAAAGAAGCGGGGATTAAGAGGAGAAAGGGAGGGAGGGAGGGAG